TTCTTTCTTTTTTTTTTTTTTTTTTTGGTGGGGGTATACTGGGGATAGAACTTGGGACCTTGTGCTTGCAAGGCAGGTGGCAGCACCACTGAACTAAATCCCTGGCCCCAATCATCTGTTTTCTTGAACAAAGGACAAAACTCCTCTTGACCTTAATTTTCTGAACCACCTTTTGGGAAAAACACTTCTTATGGGTCTCCCTCAAAACTGCGGTGATGATCAAGTGGGCTTCTGGCTAAAAAGGGGTCCGGCAAATATAAAAGAGGGGAAGGCAAAAACTGATGGTCAGGAGCTCACCTTGGGTCCAGGCTTGGCCTCCAGGGTGGATGTGGTCCCAGCTGTGGATGATTCACTGACCATGCTGGACGGTCTTTGGTTTCTCTCTTGCTTTGACATATGTAGGTTTGGCCTGAGGGAAGAGGTAAAGGGATCTAGAGAATAAATGACAATCTGCAGAGTGGGAAATAGAGACTTAGATTTACTTTAGGTTGGAAAGGTTGCTTGGCCTTAGGACAATCAAGACTGATCTTTTGGGAACCACTAGACTCCAGACTACAACCAGAGGACCACAATGTCTAGCCTGCCCTGGTGTTCCAGGGAGCCAAGAGGATGACAGATGGGTACATGTCCACAAAGAAGATCAGACTGTCATCCCTGCCTGTTAACCTCAGGTCCCCATACTTACTCTCCTATCCTAGCAGGTGTGACAGCTGCCCCATCCAATGGACATACACCACTTTTCACAGCAGGCAAGAGCAATCTGTACACATGCGTGCACACACACATGTGCAAGTGCACACACACACACACCCCTCTACTTCCCCAGGTCCCCAAAGAAGCTGTTTATAATTAGTAACAAGAAATTAATTACGCACACATCTACACCCTCAGATACACAGAGAATGCTTTCATAAACGCCAGTGGGGCTTGCCTCCCAAAATAGATTATTCAACAAAGAGTTCTATTCTGAGAACACTCTGTGTTGTCCCAAAATAGAGCTAATGACAATATTAACCCCTCATGCTGCGCCTGGAGAAAAGGAAAGAAGCAAGCCTCGGGCTCCAAGGAGGATCCTGGTGCTTCCCCATCAGCATCCCTGGAACACAGTCCTTTCTTCTGGGAAGTTGCCCAAGGAGGGCCAGAACGCTGGGAACATCTCTTTACAACACTCAGAGACACAAGAGAGTGTCCTCCTCACCTGTGTCCAAAGAGTCCCTGCATCTGCCAGAATCTTTTAAAGCAGCAAAGACAAATGTGTTCACACAAATTCAATACCTATCCCTGAGCAGCTCAATGCCAAGTCCAGGGTCAGTAAACTTTCCTTGAAGCAGGAATCTCAGTGTTCTGTAGCGGGGTTTTGCCCACTGCTCAGATGGGTGACAGGATCCATGCAGATCGATATAAAGCAGGCTACCAAAAACTGAGGATCTGCTCTGCAGGACTGACTGGGCCAGTACCCTGAGGAAATGGAGCTGGAGGATCCAAGCCAGATGAGTTGAGGAAAAAGCATTCAGATGTCCTTCAGTAGGCTGTCTTTTACAGCTGTGCAACAGGGAAGTCCTAGTTTCCACTGCAGAGATGATGCTCCCTTCAAAGACCACTGCTCAAAAGACAGGTGATCCTTTCCATGCCTTGAGCCAGAGCCCTGATAACCCTGCAACAGGAGAGAAGTTCTCCACAGAAGTTGCTATGACCACTGTGGTTCCCTCAGCAGGGCCTTTGCAGGTCCACTGTAGTGGGGACCAGCTTTCCAAGGGGCTGGACCTTGTAGTATGCCTGGCAGCTGGATGTGCTCGTCCCACCAGGCAGAAAGCTAGCTGGCTCCTCATCAGAGCTCAGGGACTCACCCCAGATTCCCACCCCCAGCCAGACTTTTGTTGTTTCTCCCCACTCAGGAAAAATGGCACTGAGCTCAGCGCTCCCTTTTGGCAGAGGCTATGTGAGGCAAGATAATCACTGTTTGGGGGCGTGAAGAGAATCTGAGAGGCTGCCTTGTCCACCCTTTACTTCCAGGCAGAGATGAGTCCAAAATGCCTTCTCAGAACCTAGTCTTGCCTGACTTCTGACTTCCAGGGGGCGTCAAGAAAGAAGACTTCTCAGGTTGCCTGAGTTAGGATGACTGTACCTCTTAGCTAAAATTCAAGACACAAAATCCGTAACAGAAAAAGTTTGTTTGATATTTTATCAAGTTTAATTTGCTCTCCCTTCACATACTACTAGAAGCTTATTACAGACTATTTGAGAAATATAAGAAAAAGCTAAAGTAGTGGGTGGGTGCCCTATCATTTTGCTAGTCAAAGCAAAAGTCATTTATAACTTCATATATTTACTTTCATTCTTTTTTACATATTTATTTTGGGTTTGAGGAAATGGGTACTTTTTTGTTTCTACATAACTATGATCACACTAATTCATGTTCTTACCTTTTGATTCTTCAAAACATTGTAATATATACATTTTTCCCAATTACTCTAAAGTCATCCACATCATTGTAAAAGACTGTAAAATTTGCCATCAAGAGATATCTCATTCTACTTCTGTAGGACAAAGAAAAGACTAGAATTGTGATTGGCTCAGGAAATCAGAGCAAATGGATACTTGTGCTATGTTTATATTTATCATCTTTAACCCTAACTTTACCCCTGCCCACTTTGACTCACATCATCTTCCTGTGGTAGCCTGGGGTGGTAGTAGCTGGCTGGAAAGCCCTCTCAGCCAACAGTATGGGAGAAAGATGATGGCCCTGCAACTTTGGTTAGGTAAGGAAGGAGGGTAAGACTGGCCCCTGGGGAGCCAACTGTGAAGAGATTTCAGCCAGAGAAGAACTAGCTGTGGCTGCAAAACTAAACATCAGAGAGGAGCGGGTAGAAGAAGAGGAGGAAGAAACACACAAAGATGAGTCCAGTCTTCATGCGCAACATTGCTCAGCCTTACCCAGAGAACACTTAAGAGGAAAACTAAAATCCAAACTGGTCTGCCAAGGTGAAGATTGTGCGGTCTCTACCAACATGAAGCTTGTCTTCTCCAGCACAGTCCACCATGGGCAGAGACCACTCTCAATCAAGCAGCAGGCTCAACTCATATCTGGCAGCCCATCATGGCTCTTTGAAAGTACAAGGCGCATGCAGCTACCCACTCATCCAAATAACAAGATCTGCCTTCTGAGCCTTCTCACCACAGGTCAAGCTCTCACAGGTTCTCCAAGGGTGATTACTACTTTGGAAATATCTGTAAGTTTTCTGAAATTACAGTTAGTCTTTTTTTTTTAAATGGCTATGCTTTGAGGATACTGGTGGTTATCAAAAATGGGGATATGAAAAAAGTCTCCAATTTCCTCACTTTGCAGGAAACTTTTTTTTGGGGGGAGGGTACCGGGGATCGAGCTTGGATCCTTGCATTTGCAGGGCAGGCGGCAGAACCACTGAGCTAAAATCCCTGGTCCTGAAGGAAACTTTTAGGGGTGAATTACATCAACTACAGCAACATCTCTGGGGTGTGTGTGGGTGTGTGTGCATGTGTGTACAGCACACAGACAGCACTGAAAAGAGGGACATCACCAGCTTAGACATGAATGTCTGTTTTAGCCAGTTTCATCTTTCAGGTGTGTTCCCCATTTGCTAACCTGGCTGGAACAGATACTGATTTGTCCTCAAGTCTGAAGGCTGAGTGTACACTACTGACAAGTCTCACCCAAGAAATGTCTCCCTCTTCCAAGGCTCAGCTTGTGCCCTGAGCAAAGTAATTGTGAAAGGCATGCAGCTCCCATTAGATGCCCTGGAGCATACTGAGTCACACAGATCTCTAGAAGAGACCAAAAAGCCAGCATACATAGACTCTTGGTGTTATTAAGTTAAATCTATTAACTTAAAAGCCTGCTTGCTCAGTTTCTGTGCTGTCTGGATTCCCAAAGTACAGTGCGATGGTCTGAACAAAGACTTCCCTTTCCTTGGCTTAAGTTACATGAATGCTGATTATTTTGCTGGAGGGGTGTGGGCTGAGGTTCAAAAGAGTGAGCTAGAGTTTGAGCACAACTGCCTCCCATTGGAAGTGAACAAAAGAAGTGAGGACTAGACAAAAATCACTATGGAGAAGCTCTGTTGGAAAATGAGTCGATTCTACTCTGAGCTTTGTCAAGGATATGTCAAGAGAGCTGGGGCAGGAAATGATATTCTCTTTAACTCAATGTCCCCATCTATAAAAGGAGCTGCTTCTGCTTTCTGCATATCATATAATACTGATATTCATAGCAAGAAAAGGACGTTATAAATACAGAAGCCCCCCACCCTTTTTTTTTTATTTTTTGGTACTGGAGACCAAACTCGGATCCTTGAACTTGAAAGGCAGGCGACAGAACCACTGAGCGAAACCCCGGCCTAAGCCATTTTTTTCTACAAGGTCTAAATTGGGTGGGTTTGTTAAATGGTATCCTCAGGGGCCTGGAATTTAGCTCAGTGATTCTGCCATCAGCCTGGAAAGTACAAGGTCCAAGTTCAATGGGAGGTGGGGGGGTCCTCAGCTGCCTTTCAATGAATGGTCTGAAATCATAACAAGACCTTTCTTTGCTTTATACACACAAGAGGTAGGTCACCAAGCCAAGTGTAGCAATGCTAAGGAACAGGTACAAAGGTTAAGCAAGAGAGGGGCTACTGCTTGCCTATACTTATCAAGCAGCTATGTGTCAGGTAACTTTCCTGCATTAACAACCAAAGTCGTTTTATCATCTCATTTTGCAGATGAAGAAACTGAGACCCAATAAAATTAATGACTTGCCCAAGACAGCATGTGGACTCTAAAATCTTGGCTTTCCACAAAGAGGTCATCCTGTGAAAAGTCCCAAAGTATGAGAGAAACAGGCTCTCATTTTTATCACTCCAAAGCAAACCCCAAACCAAGGGGATCCTGGCATGGTGGAAAGATCCAGATAACTGGAACTCAGCCATTCTCTGAAACTGACTGGCTCCTCAAATCACATCAGCTCCCTGAGCTTTCAATTTCATTTTGAAAAATGGAGTGGAAACTACCTCTCATCTCACAAGGCAGTTGCATGGATTGAAATGACACTTTAAAAACCGTGAAGCACTGCATGAAAGGAAAAGCATTATTTGTGACTGTTACCAGGACAGACCCCAGAATTTAAATCCCACCTACAGTTTATTTTTATTTCCAAGGCACTTCTCTCCAGAAAACTGAAGGTGACAATTAGCTTCCAAGCAATAAACATTTCCTATAAACACATTTTCTGGGACATTTTGTTGTTACAGTATAGAAACATTGTGGAATAGGTTCTCGTTCTGTAAAGATGTCAGTAGCCATCAAGAAAGTCATAAAAAGTATGAGGAAATAAGAATCTCTTACTGAAAAGACCTCATCAAATGACACCTGTATCCCATTAATTTCTGGGAAAATGGC